TTCTGAAACAAGAGCCCGAACTTACCTTTACGGCAGGTTTTAAGGAGCTTTGCGGCTATTTCACGATCTAACCGTGGGAAACGCTTGTCCGCGATGAGTTCTTGCTCGGTGGAGGACATGCATGCTTGGGCCCACTGGTAAACTTCATCTCCGGGGGTCTTCTGGAGTCGACCGATGGCCATCAAAACTTGGTTGACGAAACCTCTAGCCTGTCCAGCGTTCTCCGGAGGGGATGGCAACACGAGATCCTTGAGGTCCTTGACGCGAACAACGGATTCCTCATGCGTGGCGTGATCGTTGGCGGTCATGCTTGCACTAGGATCGGCAGCTTGAGACGGGTCTGCATTGGGGAACTGGCCAGGGCCTCCCCCACCTCCCCCACCACCATTCATGGTGAGGTATGGGCAATCCGTGTCTTCATGGCTGCCGCCGCAAACTCGACATTGTGGGGTATCATCATCTCCATCAGAGTCTGATGATGTGTCGGAGCTTGCTGCCGATGGCGCTTGTGGGGATGACGAGTATAACCCTCCCAACATTGTGATTGGTACTGGTGGAACATGAGTGCCATTGCCAGCTTTCGGCGGAGGCGGCGCCCCAGAAAGGGGGATGGGAGGCACTGGAGGTGGTGCGGCCGGAGGCGGAGGTGGCGGAGCCACTTGATTAGCAACCAATTGGGAAAGCTGCTGAACCATTTCCGCTAAAGCCGTCACTTGCACTCTCACATCGGCTTGATCCCTTGAACCGTCTCTACCCAACCCGCTAGTCCTCGACGCGCCGGGGGCTGCGTCTCCAACAAAGGACGCTGCTCCTAGCACTGCCGAATGGCCTACGAGATGTTGACTTGTTGCACCCCCACCAGGGTCCCTTGAATCAGCTGGGGCATCGTGACCAAGTCCTGTACTTTGAACAGAACCACACGGAGGGTCGGGGATAGTACTTGTAAAAGCATTCCCTTGCGACGATGCGGCAACACCGGAGGCATCTTGTGAACTTGAAACCTGAGGTGCTCCAACCGGCTGATGGGTTCCTGGGGGAACTGTGCCTTGACTTGAGGCCTTAGCCGCGCTTGTTTCCGTAGCTGTTTCGGCTATTGATGCGGCTTTCGGCGGGGACTCTTGCATCGGAACAGGGGTCGCACGAGCTTGTTGGGTGAGCTGCGCAACAACACGTTCGAGATCACCAAGTCGTTGATGCATCACAGAATTTTCCTGAGACAATCCACGAATGGTATGCTCTTGACTGGCAATGGTTTGCTCCCTTTGTAGGATTGCCTGTTGAGCTTCTTGAACAATGCGTTGAACCTCTTGCTGAGCGTCCTGTTGGTGGCATTAACAACCTGTCGTGCGTTCTCGACATGGCCTAAGGCTTCCTGTCGTGTCTGCTCAATGAGTTGCCTAGCCTGAGCCTCACTTTGTTGTGCTGTTTGAACAGCCTGCTGTGCTTGCGAAGCTAGCTGAGCGGCCTGAACCCTAACGTCTGAAACTTCTCTTACAGCCCTTTCCCTGATCCATCCGGCCTCTTGTCTCGCCTGATCGGCGGCCTGCTGTTGATGCAAGGCGTGATTGGCTGCCTGAGCAGCGAGGTCGGATGCTCGATGAGCTTGCTGCACCGCAGCTCCAGCTATAAATGCCGCAGCGGGTACGTTAGTCATCGGGTCAGGTAATTGCGATCCCTGTGAAGGAAACCGAATGGCTGGGGAAGCTTCGGATGATGTCGGTTCTGACACGATCGGACCACTCGGGGGTGATGATGGTCGTGTTTGTGCTGCTCTTTGAGGTGTGGATGTGCGAACTGTGGACATAACTGCAGGAACCATGGCTAGGTCAGGGTCATCCGGTTCGGAATCCCTATTTGGGGTTGACCTTGAACGGGGTTCTGATGGCGGTGACAAACCCGTTGAAGCCATGACACAGCAATGCAACTTTTGCACTCACACGAAGCTAGCTCCACGCGCTTTGAGCAGCGTGTCAAAAGGTGCTACGAGGAGATATCCCTGGATTGGCAGCTGATTGCGACACGCTCAAGTGAGCCGCAACTTTTGCACTCACACGAAGCTAGCTCCACGCGCTTTGAGCAGCGTGTCAAAAGGTGCTACGAGGAGATATCCCTGGATTGGCAGCTGATTGCGACACGCTCAAGTGAGCCACTCAAGAAAATACGTTGCGAAACGCTCAAGTGAGCCACTCAAGAAAATGCGCCCTGCTGCTTTGCACCTGATGAATTCTGTATTTGTAATTGTACTTGTAGATTGATTGATCCGCACTGCCGCACTATGGTGCTTTATCGAGGGATGTTGCCAAGCTGTATTGAGAATTTGTCTGCAAATCGAAGGCTTGTAATTGCAAAAGCTGTACCGCGCAAAGCGACGGTTTTAACGGCTTGCAGCAATGGCTATCGAAGTACCCGGCTGGCGGGCAGCTGGGATGCAGATCGGTGGATCTCCTCGAGGTACTGCGATGGATGCAGGCCCCTTGCCGCCGGAATGGATTGTCTGTTCCGGGACTCGATGAACTCACCAAGGTTCTCAAGCGCGTTGGCAAATCCGCTCGGACCGAAGTGCGGAAAGTTGCGGAACGCCGCGATGCCTGTCTTTTGAGCTTCACGGACAATCGATGCTGTATCGTCAATAAGGGCGTGTACGCCCAGCCCTTGCAGGGCGTCTGCTTTGCCTCCCCTTCCCAACCGTTCGTGAACGATTTTTATCGCAGAAAAAGTGAGTCCAGATGTTGTCCGCGCGTGCTCCAGGGCGACCTGAAATTCGCGGCGGCGATACTCGCTTGCAGCCCTGCCCACGAAGGATAGCACTATAAAATTTATAGGTGCGTAGTCCGCTGCAAACTGAACGAGATGTCGGATCACTTCCGGGTTGAGGTGGGGTCCCTGCTGCCCAACGTCAAGAACTCCGTGCCAGTCAAGAGCAACAACAAGCTCCTTGGGCGGCACCGGCCTTCCAGGCGGAGGTGGTGGCGGCGGGGGCGCAGGCGGTGCCCTCCTTGGTGGCGAGCGGAATCGCGTGCCAGCTTCGGGAGTTGCAGCGCTAGCAGCAGCTGCTTGAACGACCTGCGGAGGTGGCGGCTTGACGATGTACCCGAATTGTGGCGGGTTTGAGCTCGATTTGCTTCTGGGTTCGGCCTTGTTCAAGCCTCGCGGAGGTGCCTTGTAACCGAATGCACTCTGAGTCCGAACCGGAGATCTGGCCCTTGGCGGTGACTTCCTCGGGATGTCTGCCTTTGCAGGCGCTGGAGAAACTGCCTTGGGGACCTCCTTGGGCACCGGTGGCTTGCTGCCGAAGATGACCTTGGGAGCGGCCTTTGGGGGCGGCGGTTGAACTGCCCCGATTCTTCGGCTGTGAAGCGCGATGGGCTCGGAGTGAGTCGGCGCCTCGTAAACGCGCCGAGGCACGTATGCTGACCTGCCCGTCCTGATGGACTCCAAGTTTTGTGGTGGGTCCTCGTCCGAGCTGTAGGCGTCGAGGCGGAAGGTTTCCGCAGGCGCCGGGCGGCGGTCAGGAGACCGTGAGCGTGAGCTCGTGGAGGACCTCCTTGGCGGGTCCCTCCACGTCTCGTCAGCGAGGAGGTAAGGATCGGCTTGGCGAAGCTGCCCAGACGTCCGTTGCGCTCGCCGACGAGGAGCCGCTTCACGTGGTTGTGATGCCTCCCGCACCAATACCCAGGTACCGTGTTCGTCAAACCTCGTCACAGGGTAAATGCTATTCTGTGGAGCCAAAACGATGGGCCGAGTGGCTAGGGAAGTTCTGGATGGCCTTCCCTCCCGCGCAAGCGCGGGTTCAACACTATGGGCCCGTGGTTCCACAGGGGCAGCAGCAGTTGGTCCTCGTCTCGGTGATGTTGATGGAGACCTCGACCTTCTTGGCGATGGGGACCTCGATCTTTGTGTTGATCGCTCCCTGCTGCTCTCCCGCCGCGTTTCCGCAGCTTTAGCGTATACCCCGCGAAGAGTTGACTTTGCGGCTTGTCTTTCCTCTGCAGATGGCCGAATGCGAGGCAAAGGAGTGCGCGAATCTTGCAACCAGGAGGAAGCTGATGGAGGCGTCGGAGGACGAAGCCAGTCCGCTGCACTGCTCGATGCTCCCGCCGCGCCTGAGGCTGCGGCTTGATCCTGAGATGGCACACCCTGCGGCAAGACCACTCCTGTGGTTTCAACCAATGCGAGACGCTGCTGATAAGCGTTGTCCGCGGCCTGGATCACGTCGAAGGCTTCTTGGTCAAAATTCCACAGGTGCCAACTATCCAGTGACTCACGCCAGGAGAAGAGCGCCTCGACCTGTTGCTTCGAGGCGTCCGCAAACCTGATCCACCGGAATCGTCTGTTCTGCCGCTTGTACTCGTCGACGACGATCTGTTGCAGAGTGTTGTACAATCGGGCACGCGGCCCTTTCCCACCGCGTGTGCCGCGGTGAGGGCCGACTTCCATGTGCGACCAACAGGTCGCAGTCACGGAAGGGTTCGTTTACCCGAAAAGCGTTACGGCTGATAACCACTCAAAGGAGAGGGAAACACAGTTTTGTCAACAACGGGGGAACCCGGGACCTTAAAAGGAACGAACCCCTCCGTGACTGCGACCTCTCCCTTGACCTTGGGGCTAGCGCGGTGCAACGCGCTGTTTTCAGCACTTGAGCCAAAGCAGTGATTGGATCATGCTCTGGCATTGACTTGAATGTACAACATGCAACTGACTACATGAGAACCTACCTCATGTACCTCTGGGCCATAAATGTCATCGTGATAATTGACTACATCTACCTGAATTCGCCATGGACTTTCACCCAACTGCACAACGGGACCAGAACATGAAAGCACAATTTGTTTAAGTCCCCTGGAAACAGAATGTTGCCAGTAGTGATGGATTCCTGTTAAAACAAACAGAAAATGGCACATTTCTCAAGCGAATGAAAGATAAGGTCTTGGGGGGAAGGGTCCTTCAGATGGAGCCTGGGGGGGGGGGGGGGGTCTGCGTGGCAAAGCTCACCGACCGGCCTCTAGCTCCAAATCAGAGACATGGACAGCCGGGCGCCTCAGTTGCATGTACCGAAACCGCGGCTCTGATGGACAGGGGTCTATACCCGGTGAAGGATTTTGCCCGCACACGGTATACATCCCGGATTCTTGGTAAATTAATGAGGCTGGTGCGAACCTCTGGTGTGAACCCTGGCTTATGGGTGAATTAATTAATCCACCATTCATCATCGATATATAGGATAAGTTGAGAAACCATTCAGGGCCGAAAGCCAGGGCGAGCAATTATCAAATCGAGGCCTGAGGCGCGCGCATGGCTCGCGACCCGCTCCCATGGCACAGTGAAAATGCCGGCCTATACCATACGGCAGCCAACTCGCACGGCCAGAGAGCCTCCGGGTACCAGGTACAGTTCACCCTCAGTAACAAGGAGTTTGCCAACCAATTCTCGATGTTCCTGCGAAACCATCTAAGTGCCGATCTCTATCGCCAAGCTGCCTGCCTTTGAGCCGGATGTGTCAACAGATGTGTGTCCCATGTGGCTATGTACAGGTGCAGAGGAGTCAGAACCAACAACTTGTATTCAATGGGCCTACCCAAGCCTAGGGCCTAGGGTCAAGACTCAAACGGAACTCGCAGTGGGGCCTTGCAGGCGGTCCACGCGCGCCGCAAGCCGAAGAAGTCTGCGGTGGAGTCGTGGAAAGCGCCGCCAGAAAAGACCCTCCTGAGCTGAACAAAGCTGAAAGGATTGGCGCACAGAGATTCACTTGCCCCAAGGACCCAAAAATAAAAGGTAATCACCTTTTTGGCTTTGGGCAAGTGAGCAGAACAAAATCCTGGCCCCGCATAACCAGAGGTTCTCTATGCCAAGCACAGAGCAAATGCACGGGCGAATGCATTAGCTTCACGCAGAGACTCGGTCTGCAGATACTTGGTGCAATGCACGGGCCGCTGCCCGTCCCAATCTTCGGGGCCGTTTGTGTACGGCTGCAGGAGCAACTGGGACAGCTGGTCCCCCAGCGCACGTGCAAGGCTGGGCCGCAGGGCGCGGCGACACCTGGAGGAAATCGCAAAAGCCACCAGCAGAAACTTTCAAGGGAATGGACCTCAATAGGCCTTGGGCGCCCTATTGGGTTTGCCCATGGGTTTTTTTTGGCGAAAGGAAATGGGTTTCCTTTGGGTAATCGTTCAGAACATTGGCCGGTTTTGAAGCGAATCTCTCAGATTCCCATTTGGGTCGCCCATTGCTTGATTGCAAAAATGGGTTGAACATGGGAACTCAGATCCCTGATCCGTACCCGGCGCCACCAGGGGAAACCACTAGCATGGCATCAGGATGACTTGAATTTGATAGACCCAAAGGAAGAAGAACAGCTCAAAGGTCACGCAGAAGCAGGAAGACCGGCATCAAAACCCTCTGAATGCGGATTACCCGAGGGATCCCCGATATGGTGGGTTCCTTTTTGTTCACTTTAAAACCACCTCAAAAAGGGTACCCTCTGATCGAATCTCTCCATTTGCTTAAGCCCCCTGGACGATATACAAAGATTCTCGGTGGCTCTTAAAAACCACCAGAGAAACTGTCAAAAGGAAGAAAATGGAAATAATCGACAAGAGCATGAGGGTCAAAATGTCATGGGCGGCTTCCACCTGCAAGGGGGTTCTGATGTCTCGTGCCTGATTCCATTAAAGTGACATCCTCAACATGCCGTGGCCTAAAGGAAAGCCCCTAAGAAGCCATCAAAATGAAATACGTTCAGGAACCCCATTTTACCAAGGTTGTTGATCCCCGTGACTATCTTACCTCTTAAATGTCCAAACAATTTCCTCTTGGCGTAAACAGCCTCTATTCAGTTTTCCTGTGGGAATAGATCATGAAGCAGCTTTAGCATGTCTTCCCTTTCAGGGCCATATGTTTCTTGAACCCGTGGCGACGGTAATTAGCCCACTTCTGGTTGCCCTTTGCCCTTCGCCCGCCTCACCACCCGCGTGTGCTGCAGCCCCAGGCCCTTCTTGATGCGGCGCAGCGCTACTAAGCGTGCCAGCCGCCGCATGCGACGCATAGGTTGCTCAATGGAACCCTGGATTACAAGGAACCGGTTGACTTCTTGTTTTCTGTGTTTTTTTCTTGGGGGGGAGGGCTATCCCATTGAAGACGGCATCAGGATATCACTTTTTGGGGAAACACCACTCTATTAACCCACGGTTCAGCAATCCGGAGCCAACACTTGGCAAAACAGTTCTCAACCTATCAAGGTCTGAGAAGCGGCTTATCCTAAAATGGCTGACAAGTGTTTAACTGGATTTGAGGGCCACTTGGGTTACAAAAGCAAACTAAAGCTGAACACTGGAGTTTATTGCGCACTTCGCTCACTTTATAGGGGCAGCTGGTCAGCTAAACATTTAGTTGCAAGGGTTTGCAGGGATCCGCAGGTGTATAGCGGGGTTAAGTGCGGCTTCTAACCGCCTAGCTACCTCCCGGACCATCCAAGTTGGACCCTTCGGGGCGGCAAACCCCAAGAGACAACGCAACAAGGCACCGACAAAAGCAGCAAGAAACGGGTGATCCCCAGAACTACCTACCCAACATCATACTTTCGTCAACTTGGTTTAAAATTGTCCCTCCAGGGAAAGCCCATGGGCGGACCGGCTCGCATGACCTTCGGACCTTTCGGTTGCTGTCAAGCCAAGAAGGCTGCTGAATGATGGACCCCGGCACTTGAGAACTTGCACAATCTGAGAGCAACGAATTGATTTGGCGTGGCACTTGGCTGAAGCTAAGGTAAACCTACCCAGCATTTGAACGACGATTCAGTTTTCGCATGTGAAATAAGCTTGGACCCTGCAGCTGCCACATCTGCAATGACAGGTGTGTGAACCCCTTGAATTTAAAGGCAGGACAACGTGATAGGGTCCAAAAGAGATCCCAATCGTTGACTTGTCCAGCCATTTCTGTATGCCACACGCGGCTCCATCGGTAGCTTCGTGGCGCTTGTAGCCAGCTTCGCAGTGCAAATCATAAACTTTCTTCCCGAGTGGATGGGCAAAACAAGCCTAAACTGTTTGCGGGCTAGTGAAAAAGCCTTCCCAAACAATTTGCAGTCCAGAAACCGAGGGAAAGCGCTGAGATGGTTTGGGAGGAATCGCATGGTGAGTGACCTAGGCGTAGGGATTCGGAGAATCAGTCGGGGAAATTATTGGCGATTCCTCCCAGGGCCATCTGGGCGTGTCCTTTTTAAGGCTGGACCCCCCAAAAATGGTTGGTGAAACTTTTGATTTTCCTTTGACACCACCCAATTCTTCAGTGCCATAGGCATGTTCGCAAGAACAACTATAAAGCAAACAATGCTACCAACAAGGAGCACCCTCTAAAGATGACACACCCATCTCAGAAGCTATCACCCGCTGTGACCACCAACGCATCGGCTGGCCAAAAGGAGTGCAATCACTCGCTGGCGCACTGTACAATTGTTGCACGCTGGGGGGCAAGGCAGGTGAATTGATTCAGATTGCTGCAGAGGATTCCAGGTGCGAGGTAAGATTAGTCACCTGGCGGCCAGAAATGAGCATGCGTCTCAGTTGCCCAAGGCAGGACTGGTAAAAATAAGCCGAAAAGGAAACCCAAAGGGTGAAAGAACGGGTTTGAATAACTGAATCATCCTGCGGCAGCTCCCAGCTACGGGGCCTTTGGGTGACAAGTCAGCCAGTGCTTGATGCGGAGTGACGCATGACATCGAGTCGCGCATGTCTGCGCCAAGGCCTTTGCGACGCCCGAAAAGGGCCAAAAATCGATGCACCTCGCGCAGATTCCACGCAGTTCCAACGCACATATTTGGGTGTCTTTTTTGGACCCAAAACAGGTGTTGGTTCCCGCCCAAGGCCCACCAAAAAAAGGCCCCTCAAAGAAAGACGCACACAGACAGACACATTTGCCAGGTCAAGAGTCAGATTTCCCATCCAAACAGCACCCAGAAGGAAAGCCCTCTGGCTCCCCCAGTCTTTGGGCGCCCGGCTGATCGGCGCCAGGACCGTTTCTTCGTCACGTTCTGCAAAGACAGCCCCTCCCCTTGAGGGCTCGAAGACAAGGCCAACAAAACCCACGAGGGAAAACCAAAACTCGACTCTAAGCCTTTGAGTCCCCCGAAGAAATTGCCACATAGTCAAGCCACAGTTCAATAAGCCAAACAGAATCTGAAAGGGCGTTTCGCCGGAGCTGGTCCTTCCCCTGCCATTTGGTTTTCAGAGAAATCTCCAAGCACCGGCCTGCGGTCCATGCCTGTGCCTCGCGTCCGGCTGCGGCTCCGGCTGGGATTGGTGGAGTGGATTTTGCAAGTGCCCAACCCAGAGGATGCAGTTGCCAATATGACCGTGGCTCAAAGAACCGACTAAAACCTGTTATAACCCTGGCCCTCGAATTTTGAGCCGCACCCATATTGCAACCCTTCGCCATGTTCCTTTCTGTTCAAGGCTGGCTCCCACGGTTGCCTGCTATGCATCATCATGCATGCGGGCAAATGGATCCACTGGGCAAGTAACAAACTGGAATTTGGTTATGTTCCGCATGGTAAGTTGGTTTGCGGGCAAGGGGCCATCGAATAATCGAGTGGTGCACTTACTTGACCCAAGATACCAAAGATGCCCAAGATCAGGCCCCCGCTTTGTGGAATTTCCACGAGACCTTCCAAGGGAAACTGCCATGAAAAGCGAGGGCTGAACCAACAAGGACGTTCCAAGGTTGCGGCTTGTCGAGCGCCTTAGGCGGAGGGTTGGCGATCCGGCGACGGCCCTAAGGAGAACGAGTCCCAATCAATACCTCGCGCAGCGCCCTACCCCAAAAACATGTAAAGAATGAAGATATCTGAGCCTACTTATGGCTGTCCCTACCTTCACTCAATCGGGTTTTGATTGCAAATGATCCTTGATTTGCTAACTTTGACAAACCCTGGGACAATCACAAGAAGCCGGGGCAGGTGGATCTTCCTCGGGGGGGAAAAATACAACGCGTGCGACTTGTGCTGCGCAGCTGCGGGACATGCGCACCCGAATTAACAGCGTCACTCACACACGCTCAACCCCAAGTCCTAAAAAATCAAACAGAAGATCCCCCTTGCTAAGGATGCTTTCAGCCAATAGCGTAATGTTGCGTAGCGTCAGCCTTGCCTCTCAAAACATGTGGAACACAACAAGTAGAATGCATGCGGCGCTGGGACACTAGCGCGGAATTTGCATGCAACGAGTCCTGCTGTCAGAAGCACACCCTGTGGCAGCTTGTGCTTGTCTTAAGCGGTACGGGGCAGGCAAGGGCGAGGCACATGCCATGCATGAAAACAACAACTTTGTGTGCCCCCCGAACCATCCCGATCATCAGTTGCACGTAGTGGAGCACGAGCTTCCCTGATGGGCATCTTCGGTGGGTATTGGGCCCTAGCATGCCCTAGCATTTTAGACAAAGCAAGAGGGATCAGCAGCCTAAACCAACTGCAGGGCTCGAAACTAGACCTGCCCTGATAGCATTTATCGGGTCGGCAATCCGTAGACCCCCCTTTGGTCCAACATCCGTCAAGCCTACACTCAAGCACAACTCTGCCAAAAGTTGTTTTGTTGCTAGAAGCCATTGATTGAATCCCAATGAGTTGAACCGTTTTCTTGCGGCAGCTCAATGCGACGAAGCCGCCGCCCCGGTTTTGATGCATGTTGCGCACTCTGGGCTCGCTTCATAAAGTGGACATCTTGAGCTCGCAGCTTTCTGCCATGCTCAGCAATACACAATGGTGCAAGGCCACCGCGCCTGTCTACAACTCCAGCTGCTCAGAAGAGGCTTGCTGGCCATTGACCTCATGCCAAGATCATGCGGAAGAATGGGTGTCTGTCAAAACGGGAATGGGTCCAAATCATAAAATGAATGGTTTGTCCTTTGCGGCGCCCCTTCAAATAAGTACCAACCTAAAGGGGGTCCGAATTCCATTCTGAGCAACTCAAGTGAATCTCTGAGTCTCGCTAATTGGCAGTTCTCGCCCGTGAATTGCTCCAAGAAACCAAGCTTTCAAACCCAAACAACAAGGGTTTTCCTTTTGCTTCGCCTTCCAAACCGTCAGGGGGTGTCCAAAGTACTTTTTCTTGGCAAGCCGCCCCCCCAAAAAAAAAAACAACAACAACAACAAAAAACAAGAAGCTGCGAGCAAGGCACAAAGAGGACCTTCTGGAGGATCTGCTTCCCCCCCGAAATGGTGATGACCTGCCGCACTTCTATCGACTTCTCCTGGCGAGGACTCTGACCGTCTGACCCGACAAACGTGACATTGTTGCGGCCCGACGTTGATCTGCGGAAGATTGTTTTCTGCCAACCTTCCAATCCCAACATCTGATTGAAGGGATCCCCAAAAGACCGTCATCATGTTTCATCAGCGGTGCGCTTGTAGTTTGCGCTCGGGCGAGTTCGCCAGATTAGGCAGACATGGCAGATGCATTTTCAATTTCAAACAGCTGTCCAAACGCACATCCACTTGAGCAACCCACAAAAGACACGCAACAGCTGGCTCAAACCACTTTGGAAATTTGGGCTTCTGGAAACTCCTTGGTATCCCCCCCCCCTCCCCCAAAAAAGAAAGCAAAAGAACAACTGGACGCAGTTGACTGTGGCGACCTCCCCCGTGCCTCCCGATCGCGCGAAAGGCCGCCTGCGGTCCGGGAGTCCGGCGAACCCTATAAGTGGGATACAACAACATGGGTTAATGCATTCATGGGTAGCCTGTTCAAGGATGGTGTGTATTGGTTTTCCCCGTCACGTGTAGCAGTGTGTGTGCGGCCTGTTTGATAGATGTCTAGATTAAGGTTGAACGTAGGTGGCACTTGCTTCACTTTGGCAGCTCAGGGTCGGTATGTACCCTTCAAACACCCCGAAAAGAGACGTATAGGTGTATAAAATGCCCACTCGACGGCGTTGTACAAAAGGAGACAAGGGCCCCTGGCTGTAGGAGCTCCATGTCGCATCCGGAGACACGCCCGACGTGCAACATTCAGGGAGTTACGCAGGGTTTCAGAACGGTTGCACGAAATCAGCGATGTTGAGTTGCGGCGAGTCCAAGGATCAATCAAAGGACCCTCCCCAAGAATATCAAGTGGCAACCCATAACCCAACCGTAGCTGTCCGGAGTCAAATATATGAAGCAGCCAACCCGTTTCGAACCCTGGCAACCCGTGGCCTGAATTCAGCAATTCAACTCAACGCCGCGCGAGCGCGCCTCTTTTCTCCAAGCAGCTCTGGGGGTGGGGGGTGGGGGTTTGCGGGGCCCGGGGTTCGGCAAATGCGATGGAACGATTCGGGCCCCCTTCAAAGGGAAACCAAAAGGAGGCCGTGTAACCAACTGTTGAACTCACTTGCTGGCACAAAAAAGTCCAAACTGCTTGTTTTCCACCAAAATGGTCTTCGCAGAAAGTGAATAAAGTCCATGAACCCATGGACTGAGCCAAATGGGTGGTTTCCTGTTGGTTTCAATTTCCCTTTAGATCAAGCAGGGAGTAAGCTAAGTATGGGGACGAGTCGTACCCCCTCAGGTCATGTAGCCCAAGCCCAGGCATAGGCGGCACTGCTCGTAGATGAGGCTGCCGACTGTGAAGGTCGGCGCAAGCCTCGGGTGTCCAAATTTGCCATTCCAACGGAGGGGAGAACACAAAAACCAGCAGATGGCCCTTGTCAACTGGTCTGGCTGAGGCGAAATAAAACCACAACAGCTGGCTTGGAAAGCTTGGGGGTTCGCATGGTTTGTCTTTCAATCGCCAAAAAAAGGCAGCAACTCAGCTCAGGCGCCGCAGGAAGTTCGCCGTCCAGCCACGGAAGAAGGCGCTGGGGCCTAGCTTCGATCCCAATTCGCCCCGGCAGAACCTGACGCTGGAAGAGACCCCCCCAAGAGACCAACCTAATGTTGACCCTGAGCAATAATAATATCCCCCACTAAGTGGGAGGTTTATTAATCAGTTGTCAGCATATTTGACACCCCACCCCGCGGAATCAAATGACAAAGCAGCAGCCAGCACCTTTTTTCGGGGGGCCGAAGCAAGACACGCCACCTCTGCTTCGCAGCATCTGCCCAGCGCAAGTGACGAGCCCAGGGCTATCGCTGCTCTGGTACCTGTGTTCGAATGGAGGAAAGGGAAGGTGTCACAAGGTCACACCTAATTTGACTGAAAAGAGTGCTCCGCCTAAACAAACACAGGGAATAATTCCTTCAAGAAGGTGAGCAATCCAAAAGAAATCCCTACACATTGGAAATCACTTGGGTCTTGGAAAGACTAGAGGCAACCCGAGCTCCTTGAGGTGGGGTGAAGCGCCATGGATGCTAGTGATCATCTACGGCTAGCCTGGCATGTTCTAGTTTCCTGTAAACATCCATCTTGGGTGTTCAATCAATGTCAGGTAGGTTGCAACCATGGTCAGTGGGTTAGCCTTACAACGTGCCAAGGAAAGACGCAGAGCCGTAACGCTTGCAAGGGGGGTCCTTGTCATCCCCTTTATCCAGATCCACCGGGCTCTCCGTCTACTTCCATCCCGGTGCTGGAAAAAGCTGATACAAAAAGATAACGGACAAGACAAACCCCGAAAACCTGCACCTTCCCAAAAAACATGCTCTCGGTTGCGTTCTGCTCCCCTGCTAAAAAGTTAACTTTCAGTGGTTTAATGGAAAGCCCATTAGTTGGCAAAAAAATCAAGTCCGAACATCCAAGCAAAATGCACCTCTGCTACCAAAAGCCAACCCTGCAAACCCACCATGGGGCACCCTCCCAAAAATCCCCCTACCTTCAGGGGGGGGCACCTAATTCCACTTATCTCGTCTCCTTCTAGGGAAAGCGGAACCTTGGAATTCCACTGGTCACCCCCCTCCCCAATTCCATGTTTAAGGGACTGGGGATTCCCAAAAAAGAACCGCCGAGCTGCTGCGTCATGAGGGCGTCCGCGGGGGCCGAGAAGCTGGCAGCGCAAAAGCCCGCCACCGTGGCAGCGGCCACGTGGACCAGTGGGCCGTCCTCCACGCCGAGCCTTGGTTTGGGGTGGGTTACTGGTTGGTGTGCTTGGGGCAGGCTTAGGCTGGGTTTTGGGTAGGTTTAAGCTAGGTTTAAGGTAGGTTTAGATGGTTTGGGGTGAAGTTGAGCATCCACAGTAGGTTTGGATGGGTTTGGGATTAGGGCCTGCTAGGGCAGGCCTACCCCAAAGCTCGTGGTAAGCATACTGCAAATAATGAAACCAATGGCAAAAAAAAGAGATTATGTTCCAGTACTCCGCAGGCGGCTTTGGGAGGCCTGCCGGCTCAAACTGGAGGTGACCGCGTGGGGTCCTACAGTTCGCCTGCACTCCGCCTTCAACACGTCAACCAACGGCAGCTCTGTTCAACATCGACCTTTGTTGAAACCATCTCGCTCCCCCCAAAGGAAAGCCTCAGGCAAAGCCTCTTTGAAGCAAGCTTTCGGGAAAAGTGAAAAGCCTGATTATGCGGGCAAGGGGTCTAACTGACCAGACCCAGTTGAGTGCAAAGGAGGTCCGCCTTTAAGGGAGCTGGAGCATCCAACACCCCGACCTCAAACCCCCACAACCCCCTCATTTTAACAAAGGAGGAACTAGAGCCGGACGCCCGAAATCTGGGATGCACTTTTTGAACTCCAAGGCACCTGCGCGCCGTGGTCTTCGTGCCATCGTAGCCTGGCAAAAATTGCGACACTGCGCTTGCCATGTGGATGTCAAAGCCCTGCTGTTGGTAAGTG